AACATATTACACTGCAGAGTACCTGGACTTCTTCCTCAATCCTGTCTCGACCACACACCCCAGTTACATTAAGGACACGTACCACTTTGTCAACATAGTAAAAAAACTGCACATTCCTGACAACTCTATTCTGTTCACGATTGACATAGACAGTCTATATACAAATATTGACTTCAAAGAAGGCATGCAAGCCATAAAAAATGTATTTCGGAAACACCCAAACAAAAAAAGACCAGAAAAAGAATTATTACAGTTATTAGAGATTAATTTGACCAAAAATGATTTTACATTTAATGGAGAGTTTTTCCTTCAAATTAAAGGTACAGCTATGGGGAAGAAATTTACTCCCGCATATGCAAACATCTTTATGGCTGAATGGGAGGAGTCAGCCCTAAAAATATGTCCTAAGAAACCTCTGTACTATTACAGGTTTTTAGATGACATCTGGGGGGGTGTGGCCTCATACGAGAGAGGACTTTGACACATTTCTGAACATGCTGAATAATCACAGTGAATCAATCAAGCTAAAATCCACCAGCAGTTTGACCTCTGTCGATTTCTTGGACACCACCACTTTTAAGAACGACAGGTTCAAGGAGACCCACACACTAGCGATCAAAGTGTTCTTTAAAGAGACAGACACCCATGCTCTGCTCTACAAAACTAGTTTCCACCCAAAACACACCTATGCAGGCCTGATTAAGTCACAATTGTTGAGGTTTCACAGAATTTGCACTGAAGAGGAAGATTTTAATTCGGCAGTCAGAGTGTTGTTTCGAGCTTTGTCCACCAGAGGGTACTCTATGACCTTTCTTAGAAAATGCAGAAGGTCATTTCAGCAAACTAGACCACCAGTAGTAACTTGTAACCTTCCATTTGTGACGACATTTTCCCCGTCAACTGTTGAACTAATTAGAGAAAGTAAGAGGAACTTTCAAAAACACATTACAGGAACATCAACATTACAAAACTATAGCATTATTGCTGCATTTAGGAAAAACAAGAATTTACAGGATCTCCTGGTAAAAGCGAAGATTAAACCCCTCTCTGACCCTAAACCCAGAGTACAGGGCCAGTATTTTAAACACCAAAACTGGTTAACTAATCGGTTCACAAAAGAGGTCTTTCAGACAATGACTCGTGGCAGTCTAAAGTCGAAAAATTGTATACATCTGATTTCTTGTAAAAAGTGTGGTTTACAGTATGTGGGTGAAACGGGGAACACCATTTCTATTCGATTCACTCAACACAAATATAATATACTGAAGAGGAAAAATATGGAGACACCCTTTGTGAAACACTTCCTATTACATGGATGGAAATCTGTTTTAACGACTGTCATTGAGTGTAACCCCAGGTGGAACATTTCGCAGAGGAAAAGGGCTGAAAGGATCTGGATTGCCAGACTGGATACAAGACATCCTAAAGGCTTGAATGAGAGGTAGGTGCTTCAGGATGTGAGGTGGTGATGGACAGTGCACAGATCACCTTGCTGGCTTCCAGCATAGTGATCACAATCCTCTAACACCTAACCCTAACCCCTAACGCCCTAACCCTGACCCTAACGTTACTCACTTAAATGAATCTTTGCCGATATCCAACCAGCTCTGTCATCACAGTGTGTGCAGACGTTCGCTCCGTACCGCAGCGCCCGGAGCTCCCCCCCCCCCCCCACCCACCAAATCAGCCGGTGTTACGTTCCTGCAGCTGGACTGCACACACTACGTTACACACACTTCCATTAAAATATTGAGCCACTGTTTTTGTAATATAATCAATGCCAACAACTCACCGGTAGTGTTGGAATGTCCTCCCCCGAGACGTCCATCTTCTTCTGCAGCCAGCAGCGAAAAGGGCAGTTTGACGGTTGCAACTTGAAACATTTGAAATAGCTCAACCATGATTGGTCAACGCAGTCCACTGTACCCGCTTTACCGGGTCTCAGGACTATACACAATTTATATTTGCGTTTATTTGGAAAGCAATAATTTGATTTCAAGTCCATTTTCAGATGACTTATTCATACATTAAATATTTAAGTTTCATAATTACAGTTAGCTAGCATTAGTCTGATTGTAATTAGTTAGCTTACGTAAGTCTGATTATAATTGTAGTTAGCTAACGTGAGTCTGATTATAATTAGTTAGCTCACGTAAGTCTGAGTATGATTGTAGTTAGCTAACGTTAGTCTGAGTATGATTGTAGTTAGCTAACATTAGTTTGAGTATGAATGTAGTTAGCTAATGTTAAGTCTCATAATTACAGTTAGCTAACATTAGTCTGATTGTAATTATAGTTAGCTAACGTAAGTCTGATTGTGATTGTAGTTAGCTTACGTTAGTTTGAGTATGATCAGTCAAGTTTATGTCAACCAGCTCTTTATCTGAACCTCACTTCCTGTGAAGACTGAAATTTATTTTGAAAAAACAGCATGATGTCATGAGTGGAGACGTCCCTGACTCGTCCCATGCCAGAGGAAAACCTCTCAGTGTGAAGTGAAGGGCCGCTGAGACTTCAGGTCTGAACCTGGACCCCGTTACAGAGCCCCGTGTGGACTGTTTTCAGTCTTCAAAAAGACACAGCAGAGTAGAGATTCATCATCAGGTTTTATCTTCAGCTACTTTCTGAAAACACAAGTGTACATTTAACTTGTACACTAACATGAAAAAGTACACAGAGGACTTCAATACTACAACATACAAAACATATTAAAGACAAAGTACACAACATCAGTTCAGTTCAACTCACTGCCATTGAAATAGTCACGACTCTTCCTTTGACTCCAGAGAGCAGCTGATAGTTCCACACTTGAACCGGTTCACGTACTCGTGTCCTCGTTAACTGATCTCTCTCACAGTTTAGTTGATGTTTATCGTAAGATAATAGCTAACGTTAGTTTGAGTATGATTGTAGTTTGCTAACGTTAGTTTGAGTATGATTGCAGTTTGCTAACGTTAATTTGAGTATGATTGCTAACGTTAATTTGAGTATGATTGCAGTTAGTTAACGTTAGCAACACTTGCCTTACAAACCTTAACCAGATGCTAACATTAACGTGAATTAATTGCAGTTATTGGAGTTTGGTGGCATGCAGAGTGAATCTTGTATTATTATAAATGTTACTACATCAGTTATTACATCAGTTATTACACATTAAATAAGTATTAATGACACGTGATGAGATCTGTCCCTCCTGAACCATGTGACTCTGTCTCAATGACATCTTCTACCTTCATCAATGAAGAGTCAAAGTCATCAGTTCAAAGTGAAGCTGGAACCAGAGTGTTTTTACAAAGTAAATGATTGACTGACGTATTGATCGACTGATCTGATGGTTTCAGGTTTTGTTTGTCTTTAGTTTTTGGGACCATTTTATATCTAAACGTACTAAATTATAAACTTTAATTGATTCATGGAGCTCAATGGATTTTCTACAGTAACACTTTAATCATCAGTCTTTTGTCCTTTACAGGCTTCCGTCTCACTCCGGATCTCAGTACATGAGGTCGGCCGCCCCCCCGCTCAGGTCCGGGTCTTTGCTCTCCAGGAAGGGGAACTGGATTCCAGCAAGTCGGATCAGCAAGAAGTTAAGTCCGTGGAGGAGGAAGACGAGGAAGAAGAGCCAGAAGGACCGGTCATAGCGTTCAGTGTATGTGTGGAAAACGAAGTTCTCCTCGTTGAAGTTAGAGATCCGATTGGACAGATGATGAAGTTTCACCTCCGACGCAAAAAGAATCATCACCAGACAGCTGCACAGCCCTGCAGCACAAACAGGAAGTAATTTAATTAAAGCTTCTTTATTGGATCGTACAGAATAATACAGGAGTATGAATGTTATTTTTGTACTGGAATAAATGTCATTATTGTACTAGAATAAATGTCATTATTGTAATAGAATAAATGTCATTGTACTAGAATAAATGTTATTATTGTAGTAGAATAGATGTCATTATTGTACTAGAATACATTTTATTATTGTACTAGAATAAATGTTATTGCGATTATGGATCATATTTGTGCTCTAAATTTCCTGCTCACTTCTGTCTGATTCAAGTCTAACATTGCTCACAGAGTCGTCATTGTAATGCTGTGTTCACACCAAATGCGGCGCGAATTATTCGCGCGAGTAGATTACGTACAAAGTCTATGCACAGACGCGATGAGACTGGCGCGGCACGAATTTGCGTTGGTGCGGCGCGATGGATGCGAATTCGTGTCCATCGCCAAATCGCCGCAAACGCGTGAGTTGAAATTTTTCAACTTCGGCGAAATATTCGCGTTACGCCCCGGCGCGATAGCCTATCAGCGTTGAGTTGCTCCCCCTGTGATCACTGACTTCCTGCCATTGTTGAATCAGGAAATAAATACTGTAGCCGTCTGTGTTCACCCAGAGCTCTACGATACCTCATATCAATAGAGACCGGACCAAACTATGTGTATAAATGTGTGTGTGTAAACCATATGGTACAAACAATGAATAGACGCTGCCGTATTTACGTCTACATGACGTTAGTCTGAGTGTTGGTGGAGCTGCTACAATGTTAGCTTAGCCTAGCACCGATCCATCCACTCCATTGAGAAGACAAGTAGCCTACAAATCGGCATCATTACGTAGTTATTTCGGAGTCCCTTTTTGTCGGTTTATTGCCGTTAAATCACAGCCAAATCAGTTTATTTTGTGTTCATACAGCTGTAGTAAACAGCGACCTGTGGCTTGATAGACACAGTGAATACAGCTCGATATAATCCACGAAGCTCCTCTGAACAATATTATGAACATGACGTTGTTTAGTTTCCCGTGATATATGTGACTTCCACAACAAGTACTAAGCAGAAATAGAGGTTATTTTTTCCATGGTTAATGGGTTAACCATTGGCCCCCTCTCCGGCACGATTTGCACGAATGTACACAAATGGTCCCCGGCAAGACCTGCGGCGCGATTGACGCGAATATGTGGCGCGATGAATTCGCGTTTGGTGTGAACACGGCATAAGAGAGTTCAAACTGCAAATGAAGGAAAAGAGATATCAAGGTCTAAAATCGAGACGATTGTCCACTCATTAGAGGAGGTCTTGAGGAGATATGTTGAAAGGTTCCTTATTTCGAGGATATGAGAGAGGTTTAAACATTAGTAAGTGAGGCTCAGGTTGTTCCTCAGATAAAATAATGGTTGTAAATGTAGATGGTGGGGCCGCTGATTCAGGTCTCTTGCCTCGGACCCTGTTTCTCTAATCGCAGCTCGTATCAGACAGCTCACACTGTCTTCGAATAGAACGTGATTTAAACCACTTCCTGAACCTCCCAGCACTGCGTCATAGCCTCCTACACCAGAGACGTTCCACCAGTTTAGTTTTTACTCATTGTTTGATGTGTGCTTGAACACATGAACACGAGTCTGTTGTTGAGCGAGAGGTAGTACTTCTAGTACTACCTCTGGTGGGCGACGGTAGCTAAGTTGAGAACAGGGCCGTCTTTCAATCACAGGATTGGCGGTTCGAACCCCGATTCTAGCTCCACTAGTCGCATGTCGATGTGTCCTTGAGCAAGACACTTAACCCCAAAAATTGCTCCCGTAGCTGTGCCTACAGTGTGATAGAATCTGAATTGTAAGTCGCTTTGGATAAAAGCGTCTGCTAAATGACTGTAATGTAGTAGTAGTATTACTATCAGTGACCGATGATGTAATGATGATGATGTTTCTCACAGCTGATGAAGGTCCACAGGTAAAGTCCCATGGGGCCTTGCAGTGTCTCATACGGTCGGCCGAAGGCGTTGAAGAAGAAGAAGCCAGTGACCACGGAGGAGAAGAGGATGACGACACCACAGAAGAAGATGACGGACACGTGGAGGACTACTGGGATGACGCTCAGCAGGTCTGGGAAGACTGGGAGAGAAAACAGCTGATTGATATGAATCTCTGAATAAATAATGTGGACTTTTCTTCTTCTGCTGCTTTATTAACGTAGAAAGACATGCTGCCGTCTCTCTGCCCAGGTGCATGCTGGTCCTCCACCTGCTAACAGTGTAAAAGCCTGAGGGGTCTGTAGGGCTGGCCAGGAATATACCAGTATATATATATACATACATATATGTATACGATATATACGTATATATACATACCATATCTAAACTGAGCATGCACGAATATAATATATCAATGTGTTTATTTGTATTTACTACTTCTAATGCATTACATCACAGAGGGAAATATGGTCCATTTTCTGCACTACATTTACCCCTCCCCCTCCTCCCCCTCTCCCCCTCCCACACACATACACTGTCATGGTCTTGTGGTTTTGTTTAGTTGGTTTCCTGTCTCATCACCTGTGTATTTAAACCATTATTAATTCCCCGTCAGACATCCTTCTGCACCCGTGTCTCTCTGTTTGGGTTCATCCCATCACTAGTTCTGATGCATCATGTGTTCATACAACAAGAACAGAGCAGCATTGTTTGTCAGTTCGGATCCAGTCAGGCAGAAACCTGGTTAGTGAAGGCTGGCTGCTCTCATTAACTGGGACCATTAAACACTCTGGGCTCTGCTCTGTGGTCTCTGCTCTGTGCTCTGTGGTTTGTAGTCTCTGGTCTGTAGTCTGTGGTTTGTAGTTTGTAGTCTATGGTGTCTGATCTCTGGTCCGGAGCCCCGGCGTCGGCCATCAGACCTCTAGAGCTTGTCCAGAAAGCTGCAGCTCGTCTGGTGTTCAATCGCCCCAAGTTCTCCCACACAACTTCCCTTCTCCATTCTCTACACTGGCTACCTGTAAGAGCTCGCATCCAGTTTAAGACTCTGGTGCTAGCCTACAGGGCAGTGAAAGGAACAGCTCCTTCCTATCTCCAGGCCATGGTCAAGCCCTACACCCCCGCCCGACCACTTCGTTCTGCTGCCTCGGGTGATTGGTTGCCCCGTCGCTCAGAGGTCCCTACGGCCGATCGACCTGTCCTGTGGAATGTACTCCCCACTGACATCAGGACAGTAGAGTCGCTGCCCATCTTTCGCCGCAGGCTGAAAACTCACCTCTTCAAGAAGTACTACCCTGAGCCTTCCACTCAGCACTTATTGTACTCGTATTAGTTTGTGGCACTTATTGCATTCGTTTGTTTCTGTATTGTTCTTTGGCTGTGGTTTATGCTCTTAGATGCTTGTTTAAAGGAGATGCACTTATGACTTCTGGTGACTATTAGTTCTCTTGAATACCTATGTTGAATACACTTATTGTAAATCGCTTTGGATAAATGCTTCTACTAAATGACTGTAATGTAATGTAGTGTAGTCTGTAATCTGTAGTTTGTGGTCTGTAGTCTGTAGTCTCTGATCTCTGGTCTGTAGTATGTGGTTTGTATGTGCTCTCTGTAATCTGTGGTTTGTGGTCTGTAGTTTGTAGTCTGGTTTGTAGTTTGTGGTATGTGGTTTGTTGTTTGTGGTCTGTGGTTTGTAGTCTGTGGTTTGCAGTCTGTAGTTTGTAGTCTGCGGTCTCAGAAAACTGGTCCAGAGAAGCAGAACAGGAAGTATGAAGTCATAGAAAAGTACCTCAAACTCTGAATAATTCAGAGTAAACGTGTGAATTATTAATGAGCAGCAGAGATCAGCTGTTGATCATTTACAACCACTGACTCCAACTTGTGATGTCATCGATGACCTCGTGTTCATGATGTTAGAGCAAGTCGGACACAAATCTACCCAGCATGCATTGTGATCGCCAGTGATCGATTCTGCGCAGGACTAGCTCATCTCAAACGTGCATATTGTCCCTTGGTCCCTTGGTATATATATGTGTATATATTAATATACTCACAGGAGAAGCGGGACGTCCTCCCTCCTAACCCGCACTGCTTCACCCTCTCTCCGGTGAACAGACCGTAGTTCAGCTCTCCTAAGAACTTGTCCAGTTCGGGTCCCGTAGCGTTCACCAGCTCGGCCCCAGTCCGGCACAGCACGGCCCCGGTGATCCACAGAGGGAGCCCGGTGGCCACCGCGGCCGTGAGGATGCACGAAAAACCGAGGACACCGGAGACCGAGAACACAAGCTGCTTCTGTCGGCTCGGCATGACGGGGGGAGGAGTCGGGGGGGAGGAGTCGAGGACGAGGAGTAGTCGAGGAGGAGGAAGAGGAAGCGGAGGAGGAGGAAGAGGAGGAGGAGGAAGCGGAGGAGGAGGAGGAAGTGGAGGAGAGCCATCATAACAACATTCAGTCTGAACTACAGACTCCAAGAGCTCAGTGTTCAGGTGTGAGGAATTTAAGTTTTAAAGCGCTCCTAATTATGGATATTATGTGATACAGTATATTTACTTGTAGGAGTCTGGTCATTCCATGCATTAAGTGTCTGTGAGGGGGGGGGTTGAGGAATGTGTTGGAAGCGGGGGGGTTGGAAAGTGGCTGGGTGAGGTGTGAAGTTTAGGACAATGGGTCAAGGGCCAAGGAGGGGCTTGTTGGACTTCAGCCAATCAATGAGCTGATCGATGAGCTGAGAAATGTAACTTTGGAGGGACAAAGGGTCTTCGAATTGCAGGAGAGATTCAGACCTCCTCCGCAGCATGGGGGAGACTCAACTGTCTGTCGTGTGGCCCGGACGGGGCCTCACTTTCATTTTATATATAAGTTTGTTTTGTTATTAATAGTGTGATTCGGTTTGTAACTGTTTGTATCTGTTTTATGCTTCTTGGATAATAAATCCATTTGCTTTTGACTTAAACCTGCTGTTGTGTTTTGGAGGCGATTGAGAGCACGTGGCTGCAGGAGGGGGGGCGATTTCTCTGTGTCCAAAAGATGTGGACCTAACACAGGTCACCATGGCAACCAGTAGCAGATGGATTTCACAGAGGGGGGGATGTGTGTGTGAGTGTGTGTGTGTGTGTGTGTGAGTGTGTGAGTGTGTGTGTGAATATATGTGTGTGTGTATATATATGTGTGTGTGTGTGTGTGTGTGTGTGTGTGTGTGTGTGAATGTGCGTGCATGTGTATGCGTGTGTGTGTAATAACACACTGACCTGGTTACACAGATTTCCGGTGACAGCTCTTTCAAAATAAAACGTTGGGATTCAACAGAACTTTATTGTTTTGTTATTTCTGACACTGAGTGCAAACTTTACTTCAAGTATTTTTACTACTAAGTACTACTCCACTGCCGCCCCTCCCCCTCGTAGACCAGACGTGATGACGTAAGGCTCCTCTGACACGTCACACGTAGGAGTGGAGTGAGCGAGGCTCCGTGTGTCCAGACCAGAAGAGTCCAGACCAGTTCAGACAGAGACAGGAGAGTCCAGACCAGAAGAGTCCAGACCAGTTCAGACAGAGACACAAGAGTCCAGCTGAAGCATGAGGTCAGTCTATTGATTTATGACTAATCAGTCCACCAATATCAGATCTATAATGTGTTTCTATCATTCAGGTTTAGTTGAGCTGTTTCTCTGTAAATTAAAGTTAATATAACGTATCATAACTCATTATAACTAATTATAACGTATTATAACGTATTGTACCATATTATAACTCATAACGTATTATAACTCATTATAACTAATAACTCATAACATATTGTAACTCATAATTCATTATAACGTATTATAACGTATTATAACTCATAACTCATTATAACGTATTATAACTAGTGCTGGGCAATGATTAAAATATTTAATCACGATTAATCGCATTGTTATGGCAAAGTTCAATAATGAATTCAAAAGTAGTGTATTGCGCACTTTTATTTTAAAAGTACTGCTATATGAACAAAAGGGCAATAACATTTGGTTCACGAGATGCAGGTAGCATGTTTTATACTTAATGTGAATATAATTCATACTTTGTTGGCATCTTATTCTGAAAACCGGATGTTCGTCTGAAGAAACCGGATATCGTCTCACGTTAATCTTTCCGCTAACTTTCAAAGTCCTTCGCTCGCTCCCGATCTGTGCCATTTAAATGCGTTTACCGTGAATGTCAGCATATAGGTGCACTAACATGTAAGTGTCTGCTGAGTTGACCACGGAGATCTGAGTGTCTGCTGACTTTACCGCAGCGATGTCCAGTAGTCTCCAGGGAGAGCAACAGCTGGTGCAGCTTCTTTCTTTATTTCTGCCCCCCCCCTCCTCGACCAGAAGCGGAAGTCGCCTTTTCTCTACGGCAACCCTGAAGGGACATCATATCTCCAATACAAAACGATAAACATGAGACAGTCTGTTACAATAATAATAAATTAAAAATACTTACCTGTTTTTTTTGTTTTTTAATTATTATTATTATTATTCTTTTTCCCATCTCAAAAGGCTCAAGGACATACATACACACACACACGTTCACACACACACACATACATACACAACTGACTATAGGACGTTTGCTGGCTTTTATCCCACTGTTCTTGTCATCCTCTTGTTATGTATATGAATTGTCTGTTGTCTTTCAATAAAAAATAAAATAAATAAAATAAAAAAATTATAATAAATTAACAAAATGCATTAATGCGCAATAAAATAATTGTCAGCGTTAATTAATGAATGCGTTAACGCGAAATGAACGCGTTAACTTGCCCAGCACTAATTATAACGTATTATAACTCCCAACGTATTATAACGTATTGTACCATATTATAACTCATAACTAATAACGTATTGTAACTCATTATAATTCATTAATATTAATACTAATAATTATTATTATTAATAATAATAATAACAATACTTATTGTTATTATTATTAATAATAATTAATAATAATTATTGTTATTATGAACAATAATCATTTTTATTATAACTATTATTGTTAATACTTATTAATAATAATCATAATAAAAATAATTAATAATAATTACAATTAATAATATTAATAATAGCTTATTGATCAGGGTGTTGGTGGTGCTCCTCCTCCCTCTGGTCCTCGATGCTCAGATGTTCGGTTCCCTGAAGTCTCCTCACTTCCCTGACTCGTACCCCAGAGAGACGGTTCTCCAGTGGAACCTCAGCGTTCCTGGCGGGTTCCAGATCAAACTGTCCTTCAGCCACTTTGACCTGGAGCCGTCCTACCTGTGTGAGTACGACTACATCAAGGTGAGACCGCACAGCATCATGGGTAGGATCGATACTGCACTCCTTCAATACACAAACCAAATGAGTGTGAGAATATATAACACTATAATACTATATATATCATATATTAGATAATACTCTGTATCATATATTAGATAATACTCTGTATCATATAATACTCTGTATCATACATTACAGAATACTCTGTATCATACATTACAGAATACTCTATATCATACAAACATGTGCTGCCACCTACAAACAGACACACCTACACAAGCCTACACACACACACATCTACACAAACACAAACACACACACACATTTTCATATTGACATGATGTCACTCTGCACCATGGCAACTTTTTCCTCGACAACAAGCAGCTGCAACACACAGAGCAGCCTTCCCACGATGCACTGCTGTGTGTTTGACCTGCTGTTCATTGACTTTCAATGTAAACATCAGATAAACATGTGAACCTCTTCAGTTACTGATGATCATAAGTTATCAATAATTATAACAATAATATTATTTGTATTGTTATTGGTAGTATTGTAAATTGTGATGATAATTATTATAAAGAATTCGTTTTTTAAAGATAATTAGAGGTGAAGTCTCTCCAGCAACGAATATCAGAAGAGACGTTTCTCCCAGAGAGACATTTCAATAAATTATTATATATAATCCATAAATGATTTTAACAAGAAAGTCTCAGTTTGTTGTAGTTTCATATATGTTACTTCAGTGGGTGGAGCAGAGCTCTGTTAGCTAACCCAGCTCTGCTAGCTAACCTAGCTCTGTTAGCTAACCCAGCTCTTCTTGCTAATCTAGCTCTGCTCCACATCTCACCTGATGCATTTCAACTGTTGTGTCCAGGTGGAGGCGGAGGGGGAGGAGCTTGCGTTGTTCTGTGGGCGGGAGCAGACGGACACGGAGGCGGTTCCGGCTCAGCGGATCATCACTTCCCCCAGAAACTCCCTGAGCCTCCTCTTCTCCTCCGACTTCTCCAACGAGGAGCGCTACTCCGGCTTTGTGGCTCACTACAGCGCTGTGGGTGAGCAGCATAGAACCGGGGTTACAAAGGAGTCTGAGCAGCATAGAACCGGGGTTACAACGGAGTGTGAGCAGCATAGAACAGGGGTTACAGCGGAGTGTGAGCAGCAGCATAGAACAGGGGTTATAGCGGAGTGTGAGCAGCAGCATAGAACAGGGGTTACAACGGAGTGTGAGCAGCATAGAACCGGGGTTACAAAGGAGACTGAGCAGCATAGAACCGGGGTTACAACGGAGTGTGAGCAGCATAGAACAGGGGTTACAGCGGAGTGTGAGCAGCATAGAACAGGGGTTACAACGGAGTGTGCGCAGCATAGAACCGGGGTTTCAAAGGAGACTGAGCAGCATAGAACCGGGGTTACAAAGGAGACTGAGCAGCATAGAACCGGGGTTAAAACGGAGGGTGACTAGCATAGAACTGGGGTTACAACGGAGGGTGAGCAGCTGTGTCTCGTCTCTGGTCCCACAGTGTTTATGACACATTATCTACAGATAAGATGAGCCAATGAGACGAGACGTCAACATTAAACATTTTTGTCTCCGTCTCCTCAGACGTGGACGAGTGCAGCGAGCAGACTGACGAAGTCCTCCTCTGTGATCACCTCTGTCACAACTACATCGGGGGGTACTACTGCTCCTGTCGACACGGTTACCTGCTGCACTCTGACAACCGCACCTGTAGAGGTGAGGCTGCAGGTGATGAGGAGACAGAAGTCTGTCCTCATCCCTCCAGGTCTCTGAACCATTCACTTCTTACCTGGTAGATTACAATTGGTAACTGATGCTGAACAGAGGTAAAGCTCCACCTGCTCACCAATCAGAGCTCGGCTCACGGATCGTTAGATAACAATATATAAATATAAAGATTTAAAGTCATAATCCAGATTAATAGAAACGGGCAGCTTTTCAGACATAAAGAGCTTGAGGTGAATTCCAGCAGCTGAACCAGATCACTGAGCCTCTTTGTGAACTCTGGGGTTTATTCAGGTTCATTCAGGTTCAGGTCTGGAGAAATACATTTCAATTAGAACTGATGTTCAACTATTCAAACCAAACATTTACCTGAAAAATACATTTATTTCCTGAATGTAATGATATAATGCTCATTGACCTTAATAAATAGTTTTTATTCCTTTAACTTGAACATATAAAAGTAATATGATACTTTTCTAATTATACAACGGTATTAGAACATTTACAAAGTAGACATGTGAACGAACTAAAAGTAAAAAGTCTTGTGTGTGTATGTGTGTAACTCTGACCTCTGTCTGACTGATAGCAGCTGCTGATTGGTGCTAAATATTTACATGTTTCTGTGTGGAGGAGTCTCTCTCTCTCTCAAGACCCCAATTAACTGGTGAGAACTGTGTCCCTGAAGGAAGCCAGAGTCAGGAACACACACACACACACACACACACACACACACACACAC